TGATTTTTTTTTTCGGTAGAAGAATTTATTATTCAAATTATATGCACAGCATTTCTTCAGCTTGTAAATAAAGGATTTTGATATAATCAATAAAACAAAGGATTATGTGTCACCCAGTGGGGTTCCGGTTTACGCTTCGCTTCTTCACACGTTGTAAATAACGATTTATAAGCAGCTGATGCGGAGGAATCTTGGATGGAAACTGGTTTGTTGGTATCTGCTTTTCGTTTTTCCGCTCTTTTGACCAACCCATTCTTAATCGTCGATTTCTCATCCCTTTTTTCATTTTTCTGTACTTCTTCCTTTTTTTGTGCAGACCCGGCTTCTACCGCCTGGTTAGAACACGATGTGCTCGGCTTGTCTTCTACTGGTTCTGCAAATAAGATAAAGAATTCAAAGGAAACAACACCAAACCATTAAAAAACGGATTTTATTTCCGCCACAACGTCAAAACTCATGGTTTATCATCCATACGCCATTTTTCCCAGATTTCCAGAAAAGCTGGAAACTTTAGACGGCTATTACAACTTCTGATTTTTGTGTTGTGCTTTTTACCTAAAATTTACCTAAAATACCCGAGAAATTGACAGACTTCGCATGACGATAAGTGGCGCCAGTTCTCAAGTTTAAGCCGTGGCTGGAACTTGCCAAACTGGCCAGTGGCTCAATAGACACTGCCATTATGATTCAATGAATTCTGCAAATCTCAAAGATGAATTGCACAAAAGATGAATTCACCCAATAAAAATAAAAGGAAATGCAAGATCCACAAAAACTAGGATCGACAGATTGTATAGAATCGCAATGCAGTGAGAATGTGCCGATAAGTCGGGCATAACTCGGCCAGGAACATTAACTTCGCCAGGATCTCCTGTGCTCAGTCGCTTTTCGCCACTTTGAGACCACAGTCTCCACAGAAACTCAGTTTCGTACATTTACCAAATGCATGAAAAATAACTGGAAAAAAAAAAAACGAACTACGTGTTTTCGCGGCCTTCTTCGCACGTTCCTCATCAAGCTTTGCTTCATAAATTTGGAGGATATGTTCCGTAGGATTCAGCATAACAAGATCATCCTTATTCGTTGGACCCCCACAACTGTGGCATACATCTGATTTCACTTCTTCGATTGCCTTCTCAGAAACAACACAACCACGTCGCAAATTCACTGCGAACCAGCAACAGAAAGCATAAATAGCAACGCGCGCCGGAACAGCCGATGTGATCATGCGTTTTGTACAATTCCGTCACCGAACTATTGCATGCTAATGATTTTCAATGTTTTGCATTTTTGCTCTGTGCAAAAAACAGTTCAAAAGTTGCGGAATTTCCCACTAAGAATTTAACACAACGGCACGTGAAAGCAGAATTTGAAACCTCGAAGGGTGAATATCTCTCCAAAATTTCAACCTCCTGATTTTCTGCTCTCGAGTGGTTTTTGCGACAATACTTTCACGTGATCGTACGTAAGAAGTCGGCATACTTAGGAACTGAATTCGAATGTGTGAATCCCCTGCTTAGGCAGGAAACATCCTCTTGAAATATTCAGCCTCGTAGTTTTCCTGGCTCCCGAGATAACGACTTTTCCCCATCAAAACATTCAAGGGGGTGGTAAAAATTTGCGCAGTCATACGTGGGCAGGAGAGGCTAAGCTAAAATTTCAGCTCCCTAGGTTCTGTGGCTCCCGAAATAATAATTTACTGGCCAAAAGTTTCACGGGGCCGTAGGTCATACCCAAGAGTGTGGGAATGCTGAATTTGAATTTACGAGGTAATACGTGGGCAGAGGATTATTACCCTAAAATTTTAGCCTCCTGGATTCCGTAGTTCTTGAGATAATAATTTTTCCCACCAAAACTTATGGTACCGCACGTGCTACCCACAGGTATGGGAGGCTGAATTTAAGTTTGCGGGATCACACGTGGTTAGGAACATTATCCTAAACTTT